GGGTAATGCCCGAGCGAGGAGACTTTTGGGGGCAGGGAAGTCCGTCTAAGGCAATGTGTGGGGTTAAAATTTGCAGAAAATTCGGGGGTGTGGAAAATTTGGAAAGGGGGAGTTAATAAAACATTTGTCATGGGGCGAAAAAGGGGTTGTTGGGGGGGGGGGTCATTTAAAAATGGACAAATTAATACATAAAAGATATAAAATTTGGGGGAAAAAATATCTTCCTGAAAAGGTTTTAAAATTAAAATTTTTTTTGACTTTTTCCCCAAAAGGTGCATAGGGGTTTAAATAGGAAATGGGATAATTACTTACCAAAATTTTGGGATTACATAATTTTTTATAAAATAAAACCTTTTTTTCAAAACGGCTTGGGGCCTGGAAAGGGGAAAAACGAAATTTTTTTTTATTATTTGGAGGGAATTTTTTTCCTTACAAATCTTCTAAACTTTTTTCCACCTTCTAAAAACAGTTAATTGGAGTGGTGTAATGTTTGAAGATGAGAAAATTTTTTTTATTTCTTTCTTTTTTTGGGCCCCCTGTGAGGAGACGGCCGACTTGTTGAAAAAAAAAAAAAAAAATTAAAATTAAAAAATTTTTTAATTTTATTAATTATATTATTAAATTTTTTAAATAATAAAAAATATATTTATATAATATTATTTTTATATATATATGCAATATATATCATAAGATCACAGTAAACAGGTGTTTTAAAAAATTGCAAAAACAACCACTCTGAAAGAAAGAGAAATTCCAAGCGTTTCGTGACTCTCAATTATCAAGGAAAAATAAAAGTGAGCATAAGGAAGCTATAAAAGGGGGGCCCGGCCGCACCTCACTATCAGACCCCACAAGGGTTTTAAACACGTGACGCCGGGAGCCAATTTGGAAGGCCCTTTGCACAACCACCCCAAGCTATTCTACCAAGAAAATTTAAAAATTATTTTCCAGTGTATTATTAAATTCTTCCAAAATTTCTATTAATTATAAAGGGATTAATTTATATAAACAAAGGGAAAATTTTCAAATTATTGTCAAAATGTTTTTTTATGAAAAAAGATTAATTAAATTTTCCTGTCGACCATGGATTTGCTTGATATATTTTCTCAACTTTTTAAAAAATCATTGGATGGTTAAAATCCTTAAAAGAAAAATAGAGCATTGGAATTTGTCCAGTTCTAATGCTATTTTTATGTTGTTTTAATTTAGTTCGAGGTTTTTACCAGTTTTGCCTAAAAAAAAAACTTTATCGCAAAAATTTTACAAGGAATCTTTTTGACACATCCCTCGATTTTTGGGGGAAATTTTTTATCAAAAGTTTTTTTTATGTATCAAAATTTTTGAATACAACTTTAATATTAAAAGTCTAAAAGAAAGGGATATCAACCCAATTTTTCATTTAAAGGAAAAGAACCAAATTTTTTAGTTGAATAAAGGGTGGTTGCCCCTTTTTGGGTTATAAAAAGGTTTTTTTAGCAACTTTAAAGATTTATCAATTACATTTTGGGTTTTTTAAATCATTACCCTTTTTAAAAAATTTTTGGATATTTCCTCTCTATGAACCCGGATACAAATTGTAAACTCTCAAAAAAATTGATGAGAAAACAGACGTTGACTTATTTGATGCAAGGATAATAGTTGAATAGGAATAGTTATTTGTAGGTTTTTGTAAATTTTTTTTTTTGAGTTTGAAGAAAATAACTTGCCTTTTTAGGTTTTTTTAAATTTTTAAGGGTAATAAAGAATTCAAATTTAAAATTTTCAGAAAAACCCACAAATAACGTTCTTGTTTACTATTATTCCTCGCATCAAGATAGAGTCAAACTGTCGTTTTCTCATCAATGTTTCTGAGAGCTTTACGAATTTTTAGTCCTGATCTTAATGAAGTCATGTCTGCAGAAAAATCGCCTGCCACGTCTGTAGGAGACCCGGAGCATTGTCTAAACCAGGAGGCCTTAAGGTCAAATTTTTTTTCAAATTGGGAAATTTTTTTCAGTGGGGCAAATTGCTGGGGTAACCATCATAGAAAAAGTCCCCGTACCCATGCCTTATGTTTGCCCCCCACGCAACAAAAAAACCTTGAGGTATTCTTTGCCGAACCTCGGGGTTTCAGAAATGATAAACCCCCTTTAAAGGCTTCACTTTGCAATCACCCCCTAGCATTGGCACCCCATAAAAAGAGTAAGCCTGTCTTTCCCTAGGCTATGTCCTCGGGTGCCTTTTCCTCCTCGTAATGTAGGTCCGCTTGGGGATTTTTTTTCAAAAAAAGGGCCTTTTTGTCACAATTAAACCTTGTTCATGTTTCTCCTTCCCTCTGTGTACTCCTTGAATTTTGCACATATTTTTTAGTGCTTTTTGGCCCAACTGGCAGCCTCACCTGTCTTTCACATATGTATGCCATCTTCTTTTATCTCTCAACCCAACCTTTTTCGGCCTTTAAAAACACCACTCACCCCGTTGAGGCATTTTTTTTAATTAAATCCTCTGGGAATTCCTAGCCTTTTTTACATATGATTGCTTTAAAATGCTATCTGTTTTTCGTTTATCCACACCAATAACGGGTTTTTCAACTCTTCGAGTATTGGATCTCTTTTCGAAAGCAAGTTAAACCTTTTCAAGAAAGCTTCCTGATTGCCATTTTCTTTGGCCAAATATGCGAGGTTTATTGGGGTTTACTATACAACCCGGCCAGTCGGAGCACCACTCCACTTTAATACTTAGCAATGATCTTTTCTTTAATCCATAGTAAATTTTTTCCCTTATTCCTGTAGGGTCGGCCTAAAAGCTTTCTTGGGGCCCCGGTCACTTATTTTGCGGGTGAAATCATAAAAACGCCGGATAAAACAAATGTTCCGATTGATGCTTGGATGGACCGCGGAGGGCGGCGTAAACACTGCCCCCACAGAACAAGTGAGGGTGGGGTTCAGGCCCCACAGGGCGCGTCCGGAAAATTCTTTGACGAGTTTTTTAGCGTGGCGAGGGAAAATTTTTGTGTTAAAATGTATCGCTAGGCGGATTTAACGTTATGCGATGCCATCGTTAGGCGAGGGTGCACTGTATACCCTATATAGTACTGTACACCCAATTTAAATTTAAAATTATTTCTGATGAACCATACAAGTATAGTACATTAATTATACTTTCAAAATAACATATTGCATTTGATCATATTATAATACAGTACAGTAAGTCCCCACTTAATGTCGCCTATAGGTTCTTGGAAACTGCGACTTTAAACGAAATGATGTATGTAATGAAACCACACCTTGCTGTCCATTGTCAAACCTCTTTAAAATTTCTAGTTTTTTTTCTGATGTTGCAGTTTTTTTTCTGTGGCTACAGACGGGTGCACAGTATATGTTTAGCACTCATTGCAACAGGGTTAAATTGATGAATAACTGTTTGCAAAGCAAAAATTATAAGGTGTACCTCCTACCACCATGCAGTTCAAAAACAAACAATAACAAATATGTTGGACTCACTGAGCACCTTCATTTATTGTTATGCATTTGTATAATTATTGTATATTATGAATTTTTATTTTACAGTAATTTGTATTCATTCAGTTTTTTTTCTTGTCACCATTATAACAAAATAACGTTGAATGAAATGACGTTACTTAAGGACCTGCTGCACAGCTAAAATTTGATACAATAAAAGACCCTTGAGGGAGTCATTGATTATGCAAATGCATTTTGGGCAGACTAAGCATAAGGCTTACTCACTATACTTAATTTTAGACCTAGAATAAAATTTAAGTTAGTATAGCTTGGGTAATACATTACATTCATAAATACAAGTTGCAAATGAAGAATTCTTCAATTGCAAATAAATTACATTGAAATTAAATCTGTTCAGTGACCCACATATTATGAAGTTGTTAAATTGGGGTTTGAAATTAAGGCATTGGGGTCCAATTGGGAACAGTTTTGGTAGGCCGCATGTACAGAAAGCAGTCAAACTGTGGGCTTAAAAAATAAATAACAAAAAGGCACAATATTGTGACTGGAAAAATACACAAATAACCCATACAAAGATGCATGTGAGTTAATAGACCAAATAGATGTAAGCTACATTTTAATATAAAATTGCATACATGTAAGCCTTCAAGTAACAAAAAATTTGTATATCACCCTTGAAAAGTACATAGTCACAATACTTGACAAGCTGAGAGTAGATTACACTCTAGCACGGGGCCCAATTAGGAGCAGTCGATCCAGTTGGCTTAAGGCCGACCCTGCATGGAAGTGTACTGACAGACAGTGTGAGAGTTATTAGGGGCTTTTAAACACTGTTAGTAAAGATGTTGGCAGATGGAGAACTTTTGGCATTTTCAGGCAATGAGTTCCAAATTTTTGGGCCTTTTAGCTGCATGGAGTTTTTGAATAGGTCGAACAATATACCTGGAATGTCAAAGAGATACTTGTTCCTTGTACTGGTTACATGTGTTGTGGTGTAGCTCTCCAGATAGTATTTAAGCTCTGGGTCAGTGTTAGTATTGACTATCCTGTAGACATAACATGCACAATAGAAAATGTGAATATTGTGTTGGTTAAGTAAATTTACACTTTGGGATAAAGGGGTGTGTGGTGTCACTTTGGGATAAAGGGGTGTGTGGTGTCTGTAGCCTTAATGAGTAATAATTCTGAGAGCTAAATAAATAGTTTTGATATCTGGCCATCTGTGTTTTAGTATTATGGGCTAAACAGCAATATTCAAAATTTGCTAGAATGCCTATCATACTGTTGGGTGATGTGAATGAAAGTGAAGCAGCCACAAGCAGCATTTATCAGAGATGACAGTATAATTAAATCAAGTTTAAATGCAGTGTTGTAATTAATTAGGGTTGAGAAATACACTGTTTTGTCCAAGACTGGACTTCATCATGTATAATACAGTTGTAACAAAGGTTCCATTGCACAGTTCCTTTCTTGCTATGGTCCAGCTTATTCCATTGTTCATTCAGGAAATACTTGAACAACAAATTCTGTTCACAATAGGGGCTGAGAACCTAGACTCTTTGTTGTGTACCTCAAGTCCAACGCCACCACCTCAGATAGATTCATTATCAGCCAAAGACAAACTGATTTACATCTATACATCTGGAACGACTGGACTACCAAAGGCTGCCATCATCAAGCATTATAGGTCAGTAATAAGCTTGGGTTAGTTTTTAAGCAGTACAGCCTTTCCTCACTTAATGACGGAGTTCATTTCTTAAGACCACATTGGTAAACGAATTCGTCGCTAAGTGAGGAGCATGCTATGATGGTAGTGGGTTGTCAACCATCTTTGATATTGTTTTAATGTCACCTTTGCACCATTTATAAAATTTCTGGTATATTTTGAAATGTTTATACAGTAGTTTACTGTATACTATAATAAATAGAATAGAGGAAATCAGCTCTAATATACATTATTTTGGTATGCATACTGGTCAGAGAGCCCATTCTAAGTCCGAGTCGTTAGTAAATGAATACGTCACTAAGTGAGGAGAGGCTGTAATCACAATTTTAGTTTTTAACCCATTCACTGTCACAAACCTCGAAATTAAAAGTCCTGTCAATGTCACAATATTTCAGAATAAAAATTGTGTACTAAAATGCTAGAGAATTTTTTCTAAATGTAATGATGCCAAAAATGCAAAATTTGATGGAAAATTTATGGAATCAAGTAGGGGGTTGAGGAAAGAGTCTTAAAAATAAACACTGTAGGCATTCCAGTCACTAAAGTGACCTTTCCTCTGTTCATATTCCCAGGCTTCTCCTATATAACACTTTCCCTCCATTTTGAATCCAACATCAGTTTAAAAAATCAAAGGTTTATCCTATTTCTTGGCTAATAAAATTAAACCAAGAGTTTTTCATGGTTTAGGCCATCCCAAAAATTAAAGAAGACCTAGAAAAAAAAGCAGATAAGAAGGGGGGATCAGGAGGTCTCCTGCCCTTCCTTGGAAAAATCACCAAATATGAAATATTTCTGTCAATTTTGAGACCTTTTTCAGGCCATTTCAGGTCTTACACTGACCAGTATCACCTATGTTTCACTAGTATGTCTTCCTGTTTATCATTTGACACCAAGACACGGATAATGAAACCATGAAAACAACCTTAGAAAATGCCTCAGTCTCTGTTTTAACCCAAACTTAACATCAGAGGCTAGCTGTGTCTGCTGGTTAGATGTCCTCTTCATGCACAGCTCAGACCCATTGTTTCATGTCTTGGCCAAAATTTACCACTCTACATATTTGAGGGTACCATGATTAAGACATTAATGTCAGCACCGCTCTCCTCATATATGTGGGAGACAGTGAAAGGGTTAAGCAGTAATGATCATTAACAACTATATGTTAGTTTTTAAGCAATAAAATTTCCTTATGCTTGGTAAGTCAATACTTTCTACAGCTCTGAAGCCAGGGTCAGTGCTGTAGTACTACGTTATGAGCTCCGCTCACTCAGATAAGCTGTGAGTGGTAAATTTGGGCTAGGTATGAGAGAATTGGTTTAAGTGGTAAGTGTGCACCATACAAAAAAATCCTGCAACACACAGTGCATAGTGAGGAAAAAAACTGCAACATGTTTTTGGATTAAAACTGACTTTGTGGTGTATTTTCAATTGGTTTTTATGGTTATATTTGCGGTTTCTTAGTCTATACTCAAATAACCAGCACATAGAAGAGAGGAGCTTATAACGACGTTTCGGTCTGACTTGGACCAAACTCTCTACTCCTGGGAACTCTTCTGTCCTCTGCCTTCCCAACATTTCCGATCTTTCTGATCTCAACAACCCCCTCCGTTCCTTAGACATCAAACTTACTTTCCGCCAGACTAACACTCTTTGCACTAATCTCGTTCATACCTCTCCTCCCTATACAGATGCTCCTGTCTACTCTATTTCTTGTTCCTCCTGTCCTCTTCAATACTTTGGAGAAACTGGCTGATCTCTTTCTGGTAGACTCAGGGAGCACAAAAGTAGTGTTAGACTTGCCGACACTATCAATGCTCTTTTCTGTCGCATCAGAGATCACAGCCATCCTCTTGACTGGTGTTCTGCTAAAACTGACTTCCCCACTTCCAACTTTAACAGTTGCTGTCTGGTTGAGTCCTCCCTAATACACAACTTTACTTGTATGAATCTTAGTCCTTGCTTTGTCTCTGTAGATGCCTTCCTGTCCCACTACAATGTAAAATGCTCCAAACTTTAGAACACCTGTGACTTAGCCTGATTCTTCCTTTTTCTTCTCCTCTTCCCTTTTCCTCTTTCCTTTTTCTCCTTTGGGGTGTCTTCCTTCTGCCATGTGTATTTGTTCCTTCTTTATTCATTATTCCCCCCCCCTCTCTGTGTTCTTGCTCTTACCCTCTGTGGGCACCTAGCTCCCCTGCAGTGCTCCTCTTTCTTAGTATTTGACTGGCTCCTTGTCCTTCTTACTACCTCCCCCACTACTACTACTACCTTATACCTCCACTACTACTACTACCTTACTCACTACATACTACTTATACCTCACTACTACTACTACTATACCTCCACTACTACTACTACCTTATACCTCCACTATTACTACTACTACCACCTCCTGCTTATATCCCCTCCCTCTCTCCTTTTTGTTAATGTGACTTTGTAAATGGTCCAAGTTGGACCGAAACGTCATCATAAGCTCCTCTCTTCCAGGTGCGGGTTATTTGTGTATTGTTCCAGTCACGGTATTGTGCCTTTTTTTTTTATTCTTTGTCTAGGTAGTAGGTTGGTAGACAGCAATTGCCTAGGGAGGTACTACCCTCCTGCCAAGTGAGTGTCAAGCAAAAGCCTGTACTTCTTTTACATGATGGTAAGATTGCTGGTGCCTTTTCTGTCTCATGCAAGATTTCAGGTACATCTTGCTACTTCTACTTACACTTAGGTCACACTGTGCATGCATGTACAAGCATATATATACACACACACCCCTCTGGGTTTTCTTTTATTTTCTTACTAGTTCTTGTTCTTGTTTATTTCCTCTTACCTCCATGGGGAAGTGGAACAGAATTCTTCCTCCGTAAGCCATGCACATCACAAGAGGCGACTAAAATACTGGGAGCAAGGGGCTAGTAACCCCTTCTCCTGTATGCATTACTAAAGTTAAAAAGAGACTTTTGTTTTTCGTTTTGGGCCACCCTGCTTCGGTGGGATACGGCCGGTTTGTTGAAAGAAAGAAAGATTTGAGGTTTCTTAGTCTCATTTAATAGAATGGAAGACATATTACAGATTGGGTTTAGGAATGAAAATAGCTTGAAATTGACCTCAGAGCAGCGGAAATGTTCAATTTTTGCCGAAGTTTGAGTAAACAAATCACATCATGCTTCCAATACGTGTCAACTGGTGGGTCTAATGTGCATTCATGAATGCATTGATATAATTTATACAATTACAGTATTGCAATATTGCATAACAGGTATGACTAAAAATTCTTTGTGCGAATAATAAATCAAAATGGAATTCACGTGTAAAGCTGGGAACATAACTAATGAACAGAGGAAATGTTATTTTAGTGCCAGGAATGCCTGCATTGTTTATTCTGGACCCTATTTTGAAAATGGAAATTTTTTAAATTTGTGTGAAATTGGTCAAATTACCAATTTCTGATCACTTTATTAGTAGTTGAAATAGTTGATTGGGTGGTTTCTTGTGCTCAGTCAATAAAATAGAAAGCATACTAGCGAAATAGCTAAGAATTTTGTCGGCTGGAACAATGTAATTGGCCTGAAATAGAAGTCAGAGTGGGCAAAATCACCAATTCATAAATATCACTAATATTTACCACACAGCAAAATTCGTGAAAGCGTAATTTCGTCATTTTTCCATCAAATTTCGTACTTTTTTTATTTATTACCTTCAGAAAAGGATTCTCTACCCTTTCATAAGAATTTTTTTTTTTTTTAATTCTTGGACCCTGTGGACACTTCAGAGTGGAGGTCTGGCTGGACCCTCAAACAGTTAAACTAGATATACTTCCAGTAAATGAAAGATAGATGGGTCTCACATGCATGGCCTAACAGGACTATTTTAGCCACATGATTATTGTCTGAACTTATGAATTTATATACATATTAATGAATATATATTAATGTCCAAATGTCTCAGTCAAAATCTCCTATATCCCCTTCCCCAACCTTTCCTAGGGTGACACCTACCCCACCTTCCCTCCATTACAGATTTATACATCCTCCAAGTCATCCTGATTTTCTCCATTTTCTCTAAATGTCCAAGCTACCTCAACAACCCTTCCTCAGCCTTCTTCATAATACTTTTAGTAACCTCTCGCCTCTTCCTAATCCCCAAGCTACGAATTCTCAGCATAATATTTACACCACACATTGTCCAAACCTAGGTAGTAAGTTGGTAAACAGAACCCTGTAATTGTTTTGCACGATTGTAGGATTGATGGTATTTTTTTTGTCTCATAAACACTTGGGATAACAGGTATATCTTGCTACTTCTACTTGCACTTAGGTCACGCTACACATGCATGTACACACATATATATTTACACAGCCATCTGGGTTTTCTTCTGTTTTCTTAATAGTTCTTGTTTTTCTTTATTTCCTCTTATCTCTATGGGGAAGTGGAAAAGAATTCTTCCTCTGTAAGTCATGAATGTTGTAAAAGCTAACTATAATGCCCGGAAGAAGGGGCTAGTAACCCCTTTTGTATATATTACTAAATGTAAAAAGAAAGACTTATTTTTCTTTTTGGACACCCTTCTTTGGTAGGATACAGCCAGTTTGTTAAAGAAAAAAAAAAAACTGTCCAAAATAATTACAGGAGAGTGCTGGAATACCTGTCCTATCTCTTGGCCAGGTGCAGGTTGTTCATGAAACTGTGCCTGAATAGATAGAAATATGACTCACGAAATTGTAATGACAAGATTGCAAACAAGCCATACCACTGGTGAGGTTAGAACCCGCCTGTGGTATGGTTTTTTTTTTAGATAGAAAGATTCCAGGGGTCTCCTGTAATTATTTAAGGCAATGCATAGTGTAAATATTATGCAGAGAATTTGCACCTTAGTAATTAGGAGAGCTGAGGGGAAGTTGTTGAGGTAGTTTGAACATTTAGAGAGGATGTAGAAAAATAGGATGACTTGGAGAGTGTATAAGTCTGTAGTGGAGGGAAGGTGGTGTAGGAGTCACCCTAGAAAAGGTTGGAAGGAGGGGGGGTCGAGGAGGTTTTGCATGTGTGAGGGACTTGGCCATCCAGTAGGTGTGTGCATTTGTGTATTTGCTTTTGTTTGTTTTGTTTTAGGAGAGTGATGGCCAGTGGTTTTTGGGACTTGATGAGCTGTTAGGGTGTGAGCAAGGTTACAGTTTGTGAAGGAATTCAGGAAAACCAGTTAACTGGAAGTGAAAGTACAGTGCCTGCATTGAAGGAGGGGTGGGAATATTTGCAATTTGAAGGGACATCTGAACTGTATTATTGGAATGCCTCTGGAAAGTGATATAGTAAAGGATGGGTCACCCTACCTCAGTGGGAGATGGCTGGTGTGTTAAAAAAGAATATATTTAATTCTATGTTGCATATGCACATATGGTTAAATCTCGATTTAATGGACTAATAGAGGAGAAGGTAGGGGAGTGCTAATGCTGATTGTCCATTAAGTTCAAATGATGAAGTTTTTCATTGATTGATACAATGGTGGTCAGTTCTGGAAAAACAGAGTATGTCCATTAAATTCAAAATCTGTTAACCTAGCAGACTGTACCAATAATTGATAATTCTAGATTTTATGGACTTTGTTGTTTCTATCTGGCCACAGATTGTGTCCATTCAGTCTGGAATTTGTTGATTATGGGTCTTTTAAATTTAAGTTTTATTGTAATGTGCCAGACTTCTATGTGTACACTTGATCTATGCTGACTTGACAGTGCTTTTTATTCCATTAGTTGCCTTCCAAGCTTTAAGAAATTTATATTTGCTTTTTTTCTTATTTTCTGCTTCCTTGAAGGTATATGTTCTTCTCTAGTGGTGTTCACTATATGATTGCCCTGGGAGATGATGAGGTTTTATACAATCCGCTTCCTCTGTATCACAGTGCTGGGGGTATGGTTGGCATCGGCCAGGTTAGTGTAGAGCAAATCTTATATTAATAATGAGTAACATTACCACATCAGAGCCATATTGTCATTTTTCTCATTTACACAATTAAATAAGTTTAATACTAATGTTGTTATATTTTTTATTACTGCACAGAGTTTGTTCTCACACTTCTTGAGTTAATATGCATGCATTTTATTTTTTGTTGGAGTGAAAATAACAAACGCATGCACAGTTCTATTCTAACATCGACTGCTGTACACTGTTCATTATTTAATTATGATATAATGAAGTGCAACATAGAAACAATTATTCACACAATTCATGAGTCACAGTATCATGTATCGCCTTTTATTTATGTTCAGAAAAAGTCATTCCTCAGACAGTGATGTTAGGTCTGGATGTCAGGGAAATGCATTTAGATACAGTAGTAACGAGAATAAAGAAAAATGGATCAGATTTCCTTGCATGTCATTATTTGTAATATATTTCATACCTTGTGTCTTGATCATACCTTACATTAGAAAAAAAATCTAAAATATTTCATTCATGTGCAGTGTTCGGAGTGCTGTATTATTATGTATTTAAATAAAATATTATCCTCTGCATTTCCTTAATATTACTAAGTATATCTTTTCGTATAGGTTTTGTTATTTAACAACACTGCAGTGATACGCCAAAAGTTCTCTGCATCACAGTACTGGGTTGAGGCCAAGAAATATGACTGCACTGTAAGTAATCAACATGATTTATACCCAGAACAATTTTAATAATGCTATATTAAAAATAAATTTAAGTAAAAATATAATAGTTATCCGCAATCTTAAAATGTTCTTTTTAAATTTTGTAATTAATAATCAAGAAGGGGTTACTAGCCTCTTGCTCCTGGTATTTTAGTTGCCTTTTTTGCTACACATGGCTTATGGAAGAAGGATTCTTCTTCACTTCCCCATGGATATTGGAGTTTGGAGGGGCATTTGAGCTGTAATCTCAACTTGCCTCTGGCAAGATGGTGATGGTATGAGTGATAGTGAAAATGTTCCTTCTTTTCAGGTCACCTTACCTTAATGAGAAATGGCTGGTGTATTAAAAAAAAGTTAGAGTATGTTAGAATAAAATGAAAGACACTGAAAAATCCAATGCAAGTAAAGAGAGAGATAAGAGAGTGGGAAGATATTTGTTTCATGTGTGATATGAGGGGGGATGGAATGTGTGGAAGATGGGGTATAGATTAAGAATAGATTTGTGAAGAGCATCACAAAATGAGTAGAGAAAGAGCCAGGGCTCAAGTTAGTTGACGGATAATGAGAGCCTTCAAAACTAGGGACGCCAAGCCCATGATGATTATCTTCAAATCGCTTGTTATCTCTAGGCTGGAAAGCTGCTGTACACTAACATGCCCCCTTCAAGGCAGGTGAAATTGCTGACCTGGAGAGTGTACAGAGAACTTTCCTGGCACACATAAGTATGATAAAGCACCTAAATTACAGGGAATGGTTGAAGTCCCTAAATTTGTATTCCTTGGAATGCAGGTGAGATTGATACATGATAATATACACTTGGAAAATCCTAGAGGAATTAGTACCAAACTTGCACACGAAAATCACTCCCTATGAAAACAAAAGACTCGGTAGGAAGTGCAACATTCCCCCAGTGAAAAGCAGGGATGCCATGAGTACACTAAGATACAACACAGTAAGTGTCAGGGGCCCAAGACTGTTCAACAGCCTCCCAGCATACAAAAGGGGGATTACCAATAGTCCCCTGGCTGTCTTCAAGAAGGCACTGGACAGGTACCGAAAGTCAGTACTTGATCAGGCAGGGTGTGGTTCATACGTCGGTTTATATGTGGCCAGCAGTAACAATCTGGTTGATCAGACCCTGATCCACTATGAGGCCTGGTCTCAGACCAGGTTGTGGGGACGTTTACCCCCAAAACCCCTTCCAGGTATACAGTGGAACCTCAAAAATCGAGCGTATCACATATCAGCATGTTGCACTTCAAAAATTGTATCCCTTGTACTTCTCTGTATCATGTTCAAATTAATAAATAAATAAATAAATCGAACATTTCGAAAATAGGACCATTTTTTCGGACAAACTGTGTCCCTATTATCGAACGCGCCCCTATTTTCGGACCGCCAGGTATGGGACCTATCTACCGCCCACTCTGTCCGCGTCCCCGCGCAGGCGCCGTGAGCAGTCTAGCTTTGTTTATACTTGAGTGAACACTAACCTGTGCTCTCATTCACGCATTTTACTATTATTTCGTTGTGTTTAGTGCTTGTGGGACTGTGAAATAAGCTGCCATGGGCCCAAAGAAACTTGCTAGTGGTACCCCTGTGGTAAAGAAAGTGAAAAACACCATAGATGTGAAGAAGGAAATAATACAGAAGTATGAGAGTGGTGTGAGACTTGTTGAGCTTGCCAGGATGTATGGGAAAAACAAGTCAACCATCGGTTCTATCCTGTCAAAGAAAGAACAAATCAAGGAAGCTGATGTTGCGAAAGGTGTTAATATAGGGAGTGGATGAGGTGCCTTCTTCAAAGATTAAGGAGATTTGTGCCAAGTGGAATGATGTCCAAATGTTTGTGCAGAAGTACCACCCTGAGCAAGCTGAAACAAGCCATATTTGCAACAAGTTCAGTGACAGAATCATGTCCCATTTTAGGGAAATGTTAAAGAGGTGCCAGAAACAGAGGACTGTGGACAGTTATTTTGTGAGACAGAGGTCCAGTGACTCTCAAGCTGGTCCTAGTGGCATTAAAACACAGAGAAGGGAAGTAACCCCAGAGAGGGCTTTACCTGAAGTCCTCATGGAGGGGGATTCTCCTTTCAAACACTAACCCCAACTCCCTCGCTCCTCCTCCCTATCTTCCAGATGCCATCACCAATCTTCAATAAAGGTAAGTAAAAATGTTATTTTATATGTATTACTATACATAATTAAAAACTATAGTATTTGTTGTATGTAAAACTGTAATTAATCTCTATAAAATGTAATTTTTGTGTGAATATTTTTGGGTTTCTGGAACGGATTAATTGCATTTCCATTATTTCTTATGGTAAATATTGCTTCGAATTTCAGACTTTTCGAATTTAGAACTAGCTCCTGGAACGGATTAAGTTCGATTTTTGAGGTTCCACTGTACTTGACTTTTGGTATCTGGTGTTAAGTTATTTACTAATTTTCCACTATCTGACTAGAAAACAAAGCCTTTAAACATACAAATCCGCTAAGAGAGGTCACCAAGTGGCACTGTAGAGTAACATCAGCTAGTGATGAGAGCCACCTTCAAATGTAAGGGAGTCATGGAGCAGGTGGGGGCTTGAACCCTTGGCAAGTGAGTCCTAAAGTTCACAGGCAGCGTGTTAACCTCTTGGCCTGTGAGTTTTAGGACTCTCTTGCCATGGGTTCAAGCCTCGCCCATTCCCTGATTTGTTTCCAATTGTGTTATTACAATTTCACAAGTCTTGATATGTAAGAATAAAGGGTAGTGATGTCTTTGACACCTCACACTGATCTCATAGTCACCCAGTGAAGGTCATCTATTGCTGCTGACTCATTAATTACTCCGTAAAAGGTGACAATTTAACTAGAAGTGTGATGTATAAAAAAAAACTTGTAAGGCATTGTTTAATCCTTCAAGAGATTTTCTTGACTGGCTTGATGGTAACAAAGGGTTCTTGATCCAAGAAATTGGAGCTACACTCATTCCTTGGATCAAACCTGATTACCTCTCATTTCACAGATGTTGTATGACCCTTATATTTTTAACACTTCCCCATGAATATAAAAGTCCCTATGGATAAAAAATTCCCATGAATGTAATAATCCCTGGAGGTGGGAAGTACAATGCCTGTGCTTTAAAGAAGGGATTTGGGATATTTGCCACTTGGAATGTCCCCTGAACTGTCATATCTACGTGCTTCTGCAAAGACAGTAATTATGTGTGAATGATGGTGAGAGTGTTTCTTATTTGGGTCACCCTGCTTTGGTGGGAGACGGCCAGTGTGTTGAAAAAATAAAAATCTCCATAAATATAAAAATACCCATTAAAGTAATAAAATTCCCTTGAATATAATAAAAATTCCCATGCATACAAAAAATCTCCATGAATATAATAAAAATCTGACTGGAGAGTCATTTGCATTCTGACATATGTGATTTTGGCAAGAGAGCTGTTAATGAATGATAATGAATGTTTCCTTCTTTTGGCCGTGCTACCTTGGTGAAACATGGTCAGTGTGTTAACTAACTATATACTTTTAATTGAAAACTACAATTTGCATACTTCATTCCTATAAACATATTTTGAAGTGCTATTTATATACCAGGTCACCCTGCCTCGGTGGGAGACGGCCGACTTGTTGGAAAAAGAAAAAATTATATACTGCCAAACTTAGGAAGGATCAATATATTTTTAAGGTGGAATCAGTTAAAAACATCATTACTTGAACATCCTGTTACTAACCAAAGTTCAACCTGCCACATTATAATTTTATAAATAGTGTTCTTTAGGTTTTACAGGTGTTTATATTAAAATTATCAACTTGTATTAGGAACAGTACTATGGTATTTTACTGAAGATCTGGCACATCAAAGTTACTTGGTTAGTGCCCCTACCTTTTGCATATATGTACTATATTTTCTTTTTTCAGCACGTCGGCTGTCTCCCACTGAGACGGGTGACCCTCTACTCTTTCTCATTTACATAACCTACCAAATGCATCACAACTACTCAAACCCACACTGTTTGCAGATGACGCTACATATGTCTTCTCTCACCCAAGCCCAGTCATGCTAGCCAATACTGTAAATACTGAATTACAGAAAATATCTACCTGGATGATGACTAACAAACTTACTCTCAACATTGACAAAGCCTACTTCATTCAGTTTGGAAACAGAACTACAGATGTCCCTCTTAACATAATGATAAACGGATCACCTGTCACAAAGCTCACAGAGGGAAAATTCTTAGGAATCCACCTTGACAATAGGCTCAAATTTCTAACACATGTACAACAAATTTCCAAGAAAATTTCCAAGACCGTAGGCATACTATCAAAGATATGGTACTATGTTCCACAGTCAGCCCTCCTGGCCCTATATCACTCACTCATTTACCCCTATCTCACTTATGGAATTTGTGCATGGGGCTCAACAACAATAAACCATCTCAGACCATTAATTACCCAACAAAAGGCTGCAGTCAGAATGATAACAAATTTCCACTACCGGCAGCACACTCCACCAATATTCAAAATTCTAAACTTACTCACTGTACAAAACATCCATACTTATTATTGTACCTACTACATACATAGAACACTTAACTTGGATATAAACCCTCCCCTCAAACGTCTCCTTACCAACCTCAAAAGAACACATGAACGTAACACAAGGCACAGATCACTCTCTGATGTTCCTCGTGTCCATCTCACACTATGCAAAAACTCAATGCACATAAAAGGCCCAAAAATCTGGAAGTAATTACCTGTGACCATAAAAGAAACACTGTCTGTTTATGAATTCAAGTCTCTTCTTAAAAACCACTTACTCACCCACAACTAAATAAATACTGCATAACTGTTTCTCAAAAATTATAACCTGTGACCCTACATTACCTAAAAGAATACTCCAATCTCTTGAATGCACAGTAACTCGTCAAATTACTAAATGATCTGTCTTTGAAATACTCATTTATGCTTAATTGTTATTTGTTTACTGTCATTTTCACCACTGTATATATCATTGCTTAGTTAATCTTAAGTTAATTTTAAGCCTGCCCATAATGCTCTGCATACAAGGGGCTTTTGGCATGTACACTTAACCACTGTATTTCTTTGTACATCTATGTATCATGTCCAAAAAATAATTCACACATTATCACTGTCTTTGCAGAGGTGCCCAGATGTGACAGTTTAGATGTCACTTCAAACAGCCAATATCCCAAACCCCTCCTTGAAAGTGCAGTCATTCTACTTCCCACCTCCAGGACTCGAGTCCTGTTTGCCGGTTTCCCTGAATCCCTCATGAAATATTACCCTGCTCACACTCCAACAGCTCATCAGGTCCCAAAAACCATTTGTCTCCATTCACTCCTATCTAACATGCTCTCACATGCCAGCTGCAAGTCCAAGCCCCTTGCACACACAAACCTCTTACCCCCTCCCTCCATCTTTTCTCTTAGGACAGCCCCTACCCCTCCTCCCCTCCACTACAGATTTATACAGATTTCACAAGTGCTCTTTGATTTCATAGTCATTTAATGTATGCTTCATACTTTCTTTTTACGTATATTTAAACCAATTAGCTGAACTTGAGTCCTGGAGGTGGGAAGTACAGTGCCTTCACTCTGAAGGAGGGGTGAGGATAGTTGCAATGTGGAATGACACTTGAACTGTGTGTTTGTGCCACTAGCAAGATGGTAACACAGTGAATAATGATAAAAGTGTTTCTTTTTCAGGTCACCCTACCTTGGTTGGGGATGGCCATTGTACTTAAAAAAACAAAGTAGTAATATTTAATAATTTAATATTATACAACAGGTCGCCCAATACGTAGGAGAGATCTGTCGCTACCTCCTCAAAACTCCAGAGAAACCCGAAGACAAACAGCATAAGGTATGTATTTGTTGTTATCTGTTCACATCTAGTAATATTGTACTGTACTGTACTTCATACTCACTCAAACATAATCACTGTTTTTGCAGAGGTGCTCAGAATACAACAGTTTAGAAGCATATATGTATAAATGCAGAGGAGAGAGAGAGATTTTGGGAGATGTTAAGTGAATGTATAGGAGCCTTTGAACCAAGTGAGAGAGTAATTGTGGTAGGGGACCTGAATGCTAAAGTAGGAGAAACTTTTAGAGGGTGTGGTAGGTAAGTTTGGGGTGCCAGGTGTAAATGATAATGGGAGCCCTTTGATTGAACTTTGTATAGAAAGGGGTTTAGTTATAGGTAATACATATTTTAAGAAAAAGAGGATAAGTAAGTATACAAGATATGATGTAGGGCGAAATGACAGTAGTTTGTTGGATTATGTATTGGTAGATAAAAGACTGTTGAGTAGACTTCAGGATGTACATGTTTATAGAGGGGCCACAGATATATCAGATCACTTTTTAGTTGTAGCTACACTGAGAGTAAAAGGTAGATGGGATACAAGGAGAATAGAAGCATCAGGGAAGAGAGAGGTGAAGGTTTATAAACTAAAAGAGGAGGCAGTTAGGGTAAGATATAAACAGCTATTGGAGGATAGATGGGCTAATGAGAGCATAGGCAATGGGGTCGAAGAGGTATGGGGTAGGTTTAAAAATGTAGTGTTAGAGTGTTCAGCAGAAGTTTGTGGTTACAGGAAAGTGGGTGCGGGAGGGAAGAGGAGCGATTGGTGGAATGATGTGAAGAGAGTAGTAAGGGAGAAAAAGTTAGCATATGAGAAGTTTTTACAAAGTAGAATTGATGCAAGGAGGGAAGAGTATATGGAGAAAAAGAGAGAGGTTAAGAGAGTGGTGAAGCAATGTAAAAAGAGAGCAAATGAGAGAGTGGGTGAGATGTTATCAACAAATTTTGTTGAAAATAAGAAAAAGTTTTGGAGTGAGATTAACAAGTTAAGAAAGCCTAGAGAACAAATGGATTTGTCAGTTAAAAATAGGAGAGGAGAGTTATTAAATGGAGAGTTAGAGGTATTGGGAAGATGGAGGGAATATTTTGAGGAATTGTTAAATGTTGATGAAGATAGGGAAGCTGTGATTTCGTGTATAGGGCAAGGAGGAACAACATCTTGTAGGAGTGAGGAAGAGCCAGTTGTGAGTGTGGGGGAAGTTCATGAGGCAGTAGGTAAAATGAAAGGGGGTAAGGCAGCCGGGATTGATGGGATAAAGATAGAAATGTTAAAAGCAGGCGGGGATATAGTTTTGGAGTGGTTGGTGCAATTATTTAATAAATGTATGGAAGAGGGTAAGGTACCTAGGGATTGGCAGAGAGCATGCATAGTTCCTTTGTATAAAGGCAAAAATTATAGGGGGATAAGTCTGTTGAGTATACCTGGCAAAGTGTATGGTAGTTATTATTGAAAGAATTAAGAGTAAGACGGAGAATAGGATAGCAGATGAACAAGGAGGCTTTAGGAAAGGTAGGGGGTGTGTGGACCAGGTGTTTACAGTGAAACATATAAGTGAACAGTATTTAGATAAGGCTAAAGAGGTCTTTGTGGCATTTATGGATTTGGAAAAGGCGTATGACAGGGTGGATAGGGGGGCAATGTGGCAGATGTTGCAGGTGTATGGTGTAGGAGGTAGGTTACTGAAAGCAGTGAAGAGTTTTTTACGAGGATAGTGAGGCTCAAGTTAGAGTATGTAGGAAAGAGGGAAATTATTTCCCAGTAAAAGTAGGCCTTAGACAAGGATGTGTGATGTCACCGTGGTTGTTTAATATATTTATAGATGGGGTTGTAAGAGAAGTAAATGCGAGGGTCTTGGCAAGAGGCGTGGAGTTAAAAGATAAAGAATCACACATAAAGTGGGAGTTGTCACAGTTGCTCTTTGCTGATGACACTGTGCTCTTGGGAGATTCTGAAGAGAAGTTGCAGAGATTGGTGGATGAATTTGGTAGGGTGTGCAAAAGAAGAAAATTGAAAGTGAATACAGGAAAGAGTAAGGTTATGAGGATAACAAAAAGATTAGGTGATGAAAGATTGGATATCAGATTGGAGGGAGAGAGTATGGAGGAGGTGAATGTATTCAGATATTTGGGAGTGGACGTGTCAGCGGATGGGTCTATGAAAGATGAGGTGAATCATAGAATTGATGAGGGGAAAAGGGTGAGTGGTGCACTTAGGAGTCTGTGGAGACAAAGAACTTTGTCCTTGGAGGCAAAGAGGGGACTGTATGAGAGTATAGTTTTACCAACGCTCTTATATGGGTGTGAAGCATGGGTGATGAATGTTGCAGCGAGGAGAAGGCTGGAGGCAGTGGAGATGTCATGTCTGAGAGCAATGTGTGGTGTGAATATAATGCAGAGAATTCGTAGTTTGGAAGTTAGGAGGAGGTGCGGGATTACCAAAACTGTTGTCCAGAGGGCTGAGGAAGGGTTGTTGAGGTGGTTCGGACATGTGGAGAGAATGGAGCGAAACAGAATAACTTCAAGAGTGTATCAGTCTGTAGTGGAAGGAAGGCAGGGTAGGGGTCAGCCTAGGAAAGGTTGGAGGGAGGGGGTAAAGGAGGTTTTGTGTGCGAGGGGCTTGGACTTCCAGCAGGCATGCGTGAGCATGTTTGATAGGAGTGAATGGAGACAAATGGTTTTTAATACTTGACGTGCTGTTGGAGTGTGAGCAAAGTAACATTTATGAAGGGGTTCAGGAAAACCGGCAGGCCAGACTTGAGTCCTGGAGATGGGAAGTACAGTGCCTGCACTCTGAAGGAGGGGTGTTAATGTTGCAGTTTAAAAACTGTAGTGTAAAGCACCCTTCTGGCAAGACAGTGATGGAGTGAATGATGGTGAAAGTTTTTCTTTTTCGTGCCACCCTGCCTTGGTGGGAATCGGCCAGTGTGATAATAATAAAAAAATGTATAAAGATACAAAACATATCCCTCCAAACTGCCAATTTCCAAAACTCCTCCTTTAAAGTGCAGGCATTGTACTTCCCATTTCCAGTACTCAAGTCCGGCTACATAAAAATAACCGGTTTCCCTGAATCCCTTCACTAAATATTACCCTGCTCACACTCCAACAGCTCATCAGGTCCTAAATACCATTCATCTCCATTCACTCCTATCAAACACCTGACCTGACCTGACGAGCTGTTGGAGTGTGAGCAGGGTAATATTTAGTGAAGGGATTAAGGAAAACCGGTAATTTTTATTTAGCCGGACTTGAGTTCTGGAAATGGGAAGTACAATACCTGCACTTTAAAGGAGGGGCTTGGGATACTGGCAGTTTAGAGGGATGTGTAATAGGAAGGTATATATATAATTGGGGCCCTGATATTATATTCTATATGGAGTTTATTATATTTCAGGTCACTTTTTATATTGTATCTTTATATATGCTTCTAAGCTGTTGTATCTGGGTGCCTCTTCAAAAACAGTGATTATGTATGAGGTGAAAGTGTTGAATGATGATGAAAAGTATTTTCATTTTGGGGATTTTCTTTATTTTTGGGTCACCCTGCCTAGGTGGGAGATGGCCGACTTGTTGAAAAAAAAAAATTATATTTGGATCATTTTGTTTAGTTGCATGTATTTCTGTCATCCTTCCAACCTCCTCCACCAAACTGCAACTTCTCTTTGGAATCTCTCAAAAGCACTGTGTTATCAGCTAAATATAACTATAATTATATCTTTATATATTCTTTATTATCTTTTAGGAATTCACCTTTCCTCAACACACTAGCATTCACTTTTTTCTTTTTTTTTTACAACCAAATCTAATAACACATTAAACAGCTGTAGTGACATGTATGTCTGTCTAAGGCATGCTTTAACTGTAAAATACTCTTCTCCTTTCCTTCCTCTTTCCACACACTCTACTCTCTTCCAAGTATATAAATACATATTTAACACACTTTCCATATCCCACTTGAATTTTAAACCACATAGTTCTTGAATTTCAACATCTGTATTCTCTTTCTTTCCATAATTGTTCATTTAACATTATTATTATTCCTTCTTTAGCTTTTATTCTCTCAGATACTTTAGACTTACTCCCATGTACTTCTTTCTTGAATTCAAAACATTAATAATCAGTTCCATCTTAGCATCAGTACTATATCCATGCACTTTCTTATAACTCAACTTCAAAAAATAATTTATTTTTAGTTATTGCATGTAGAAAAAGAAAGTTTAAAGTAACACAGAGTAATGAAAGTAAAGAGTAATGTAAACAGTGAAAGGCTGGTAAGAAGTTTATGGCTGTGAATGTCTTTAGATGTGTGATTGGATGTTTTACTTTATCTTTTTTTTAACACATTGGCCATTTCCGACTGAGGCAGGGTGACACGAAAAGAAAGAAAAAACTTTCATCATCATTCAGCACTTTCACCATCACTCATACATAATCACTGACTTTGTAGAGGCACTCAGATACGACAGTTTAGATGTCCCTCCAAACTGCCAATATCCCAAATTCCTCCTTTAACCCTTTCAGGGTTGGTGCCGTACTAGTACGCATAAATTCTAGCGCCTTCAAATCTAGCGAGAGAGAGGTGGTAGGCCTACATGTGAAAGAATGGGTCTATGTGGTCACTGTGCACAGTATAAAAAAAATTGTGCAGCACACAGTGCATAATGAGAAAACAAAATAACTCTGTTTTTGGTTTAAAACCGATTTTGCAGTGTGTTTTCGTATGGTATTCATGGTTGTATTCTAGTTTTCCTAGTCTCATTTTATAGAATGGAAAACATATTACAGAAATTGAGATGATTATGATTGGTTTCACAATGAAAAGTACCTTGATATTGAGCTCAAAGTAGCAGTAATGTTCGATTTTTGCCAAAGTTCAAAAGTAAACAAATCAAGCCATGCGTCACCATGCCATGGTGAATCTGATATTCTTTCACAAGTGCACTGATATTATTTATACCATTTCTACACTAATGCAGTAGTCTGCATAACAGTAAATCTGTTTTTTTGTGAGAATAAAAATTCAAGGTGGAAAGCAAAAGAAATGTAAGAGGGGCCTGGGGACATGACTAATGAACAGAGAAAATGCTATTTTAGTGCCAGGTATGTCTTGTCTTGTTTATTCTGGACCCTATTTGGATATTGGCATCTTTTGAAATTTGTGTGAAATTGGCAAAATTGCCAATTTCTGACCACTTTATTGGAGAGTTGAAATCAATTAATGGATGGTTTCTTGTACTCATTCAGTAGAAAACGTGGAGTTCTATCAAAGTAGTTATGATTTTTGTCGACTAGTCCATTGGAATTGGCCGAAAATAGGGCTCAAAGACCGCTAACTTTGCGAGAGCATAATTCAGTAAGTTTTCGATCAAATTTCATACTTTTGGTGTCATTATGATCGGAGAAAGATTCTCTATCATTTCCTAAGAATTTTTTTTTTTTCTAACCTGAGAACAAGTTCAGGAGAGGGCCTCTCGACCCTGACAGGGTTAAAGTGCAGGCACTGTACATCCCATTTCCAGGACTCAAGACGGGCTTACTGGTTTCCCTGAATCCATTCAGAAAATGTTTCCCTGTTCGCACTCCAACAGCTCGTCAAGTCCCAAATACCATTCATCTCCATTCAGTCCTATCTAACATGCTCACGCACACTTGCTGGAAGTCCAAGCCCCTCCCCCACAAAACCTTTACCCCCTCCCTCCAACCTTTTTGAGGACGACCCCTACCCTACCTTCCTTCCCCTACAGATTTATACATTCTCCAAGTCATTCTACTTTGTTCTATTCTCTCTAAATAACCAAACCATGCCTACAACCCCTCTTCAACCTTCTTACTAATACTTTTAGCAACTCCACATCACCTAATTTCCACACTACGGGTTTTTTTTTATTATTAATAAGTCGGCCGTCTCCCACCGAGGCAGGGTGACCCAAAAAGAAAGAAAATCCCCCAAAACAAAATACTTTCATCATCATTCAACACTTTCACCTCACTCACACATAATCATTGTTTTTGCAGAGGTGCTCAGAATACAAGTTTAGAAGCATATACATATAAAGATGCACGCTTGCTGGAAGTCCGAGCCCCTCGTTCACAAAACCACCTTTACCCCCTCCCTCCAACCTTTTCGAGATTGACCCCTACCCCGCCTTCCTTCCCCTACAGATTTATACGCTCTCCATATCATTCTACTTCGATCCATTCTCTCTCAATGACTAAACCACCTCAACAAACCCTCTTCAGCACTCTGACTAATACTTTTATTAACTCCACACTTCCTAATTTACACACTCCGAATTTTCTGCATAATATTTATACCACACATTGCCCTTAGACAGGACATCTCCACTGCCTCCAATCGCCTCCTCGCTGCAGCATTTACAACCCAAGCTTCACACCCATGTAAGAGTGTTGATAGTACTATACTTTCATACATTCCCTTCTTTGCCTCCATAGATAATGTTTTTTGTCTCCACATATGCCTCAACGCACCACTCGCCTTTTTTCCTTCATCAATTCTATGATTAACCTTATCCTTCATAAATCCTTCTGCCGACATGTCAACTCCCAAATATCTGTAAACGTTCTCTTCTTCCATACTCCTCCCCAATTTGATATCCAATTTTTCTTTATCTAAATCATTTGATACCCTCATCACCTTACTCTTTTCTATGTTCACTTTCAACTTTCTACCTTTTCACACACTATGAATTCTCTGCATAATATTTGCACCACACATTGCCCTTCGACACGACATCTGCACTTCCTCCAGCCTCCTCCTCGTTGCAGCGTTTACAACCCATGCTTCACACCCATATAAGAGTGTAAGTACCATATATATGTGTATATGTCTTTATTTATTACTGTATGTAAATTCATACTTTTTTATGGTTATATGACTGGTATTTTTCCATAATTGCCAGGTCAGAGTGATGTTTGGCAATGGTGTGAGACCTCAGATCTGGACTCAGTTTACATCTCGTTTTAATATGCCTTGCATAGCTGAATTTTATGGAGCCACTGAAAGTATTTCAAACATTAGTAAGTGGTTATAACTTATTAACTTAAAAATATTATTTTTCAATTTTAAAGAATAGTTCTGTTAAAGATTTAAAAAAATATTTTGCGAGTTCATGGTAGATACGTGTCTATATTTTTAAACCAAAAAGAAATGCAACCCATTTCAATATCAAAATAAAATTCCCCTTACTGTAGCTCTTGCTGAATTGAATTTATCCTTAATACAAGTTAAATTTTTGGAAAAAAAATGAAGGTGCCACTGTTAAGTATAAAATACTGTTTATGGTATATGTGAATTTTATCAGGATGGTAAAAAATGCTGCATTGCATTTTAACTGCAGTTACACAAATTCTTCAGCCAAAGCAATGCAGTATTGAAATGTAATAATTCAAATGAATTAATTTTGCTTCTTCAATAAGGCATCCACATGTAGTGGACCTTGAGTTTCGTAAGCCTCGCACTCCTTAAATTTTGCTTTTTGGCAACTTTTTTCGTCAAAATATAGCCTCGCGGTTTGTAATTTGCCTCGCCATTCGTCGGTCGTCCGGAACATGTATGAGTGGCCTCCCAGCGTCCGCGCCACACAGAGGTGCCCCACACACCATTCCCAGTGTGACATTGTTTATTGGTGAGTGACCATCACCCCACATGTTCATATGATACATTTTGTAACATTCCATTCTTTTTTGTGCCTGCAACTGCTAAATAAGCCACCATGGGCCCAAAGAAAGCTTCTAGTGCCAGCCCTTTGGTAAAGAATGGGAAACATGATAGAATTCAAGAAAGTAATCATTGCAAAATATGAAAGTGGCATCTGTGTGGCCCATCTTGCCAGGATATGTGGGAAGCCCCATATGACCATTGCTTCCATCATGGTGGAGAAAAAGGAAAGCGAGGAAGCTGTTGTTGCGAAAGGGGTAGATCTCCTCACAAAAAAGAGATTGCAAATACTCAAAGATGTTGAGAATTTGTTGCTGGTGTGGATCAACCAAAAACAGTTAGCAGGAGATAGTGTGATAGTGTTATGCAGTCGATAATTGGTGAAAAGGCAAGGCAGATGCATGCAGATCTCATAAAGAAAATGCCTGGAACAAGTGCTGATGTTAGTGAATTTATGGCCAGCAAAGGCTGGTTTGAGAGATTTAAGAAGCGTAGTGGCAAACACAGTGTGGTAAGGCATGGCGAGGCTGCAAGTTCTGAAGAACTGCAAGACCTTCATCTGCAACAGCAACAGACCACAGCTCAGGAAATTGCTTCAAAAGGAGGAGGAGGAAGAGAGATGGAAGAAGGTGCCTTCTTCAAAAATTAAGGACATTTGTGCAAAATGGAGTGAGGTGCAAACGTTTGTGGAGGAACATCACCCTGACAGAGCTGTTGCAAACCGTGTTGGCAACATGTACAATGACAGTGTCTTGTCCCAGTTTAGGAAAATTTTAAAGAGACACCAGAAACAGAGCTCTCTGGAACAATTTTTTGAGCAACAGGTATCCAGTGACTCTCAAGGTGGTCCTAGTGACATTAAAAAACAAAGAAGGCAAGTAACCCCAGATATGGACTTGGTACCTAAAGTCTTTATGGAAGGGGATTTCCCTTCCAAACAGTAGTGTAACTTCTCCATCCTCTCCCCTCCTCCTGTCTTCCATACACCAACAGGAGTCTTCAATAATGGTAATTGTGATGTTATTATTGTTTTATACCTGATGTCTCATTGTTTTCTGTATGTAAATCTATATTTAATGTAAAAATATTTTTTGTTAATACTTTTGGGTGTTTGGAACGGATTAATTGGATTTACATTATTTCTTATGGGGAAAATGGTTTCGCCACTCATAAATTTCGCCTTTCGTCAGACTCTCTGGAATGGATTGATTATGAAATTCGAGGGTTCACTGTATATTCCCAGGTAGCACCTCTATGTTTTGCCATGTCATTCGTAAGTAACTATACCATACAACCACACATTTTATTTAGATTATTTTCATACCTAGGTTTAAAAATATTGATGGAATTTCAGTAGAGTATATGAGGTTAATCTTTTCTAATCTTCATACTTGATTTCTTCATGAAGCAACACCATATTTATTGTGTTCATCTTCTTTGTCACTGTTTTTCATATGATTGTAAGTAGCAATGAATACGTATTTCACCCTCATGTTATAATAATCAAGCATTCTATGTATTTTTTAAAATTCTTCTCTTCAGGTAATTGTACATAAGTAGTGCTTCTGCCCAATACAGATTTACTGAACCAAATATCCTGTATTAGCCATAAAAAACTCCACTTAATGTTTGATAACTTAAATGTGCATATTCTGTAGTGTTACAAAGGAGTGAAAAACTAGATAAGTAACAAGATAAGTTAAATGTATGATATAATTGCAATAAAAAGTTATTTTAGAAATTTATTGAGATTGTTGCAAGAAAAAAAAATATCTTGTGTGGATTTTCTTTTAGCAAGAAATGAGACAGAATTTATTATCATTAGAAGACTTCCAGAGATTGCTGAAGAAAAATACTTTCATGGCTAGAATTTCTCTCTTAAGCTGTTTGATTTTTCATAGTTCATATGTATATAGAAACATACTAGGCCCTTTGGCTTGGTGCATTCCCTTTCGTCTCTCTTGTCATCATTGGTTTGAGCCTACAGTGTTGACTCGTATTATTAAAAAGTAAGCTTCGTGGCTTATTGGTGCAGCGTTGGGCTTGCTATTGCCAGCACCACGGTTCAAGTCCTAGCCCATTCTTCTGTTTACTTTTTGACATTCGTTTATGAGAACTTACCTTGAATTTCTTTTTATCAATGGGGAAGCAGAATAAAAATCTTTCCTCCCTAAGCCATGCATGTTGTAAAAGTCAACTAAAATACAGGAAGCAATGGGCTAGTAACCCCTTTTTCCATATAACCAAAGAAGAAAACTGTCAAAGTGGGATGTATGAATGTACATGAATGTAGTGCGAATGATAAGAAAGAGATGATTGTGGATGTTACAAATGAAAAGAAGCTGGATGTCCTGGCTCTTAAGTGAAAAAAAGCTGAAGGTGGGTAGGAGAGTTTCAGTGGGGAGAAATAAATGGGATTAGGTCAGGGGTTTCTAATAGGGTTAAAATTAAGGAAGGAGTAGCAATAATGTTGAAGGATAAGTTATAGCAGGAAAAGAAATAATATAATTGTATAAATTCAAGGATTATGTGGAGTAAAATAAGGGTTGAATGTGAAAGCAGGTTATAGTGTTTATGCACCTAGAGAAGAGAGAAGTGTAGAGGAGAGAGAGAGAGATTTGGGGAAATGTTGAGTGAGTGTGTGGGGAGTTTTGAACCAAGTGAGAGAGTACTTGTGGTTGAGGAACTCAATGCTAAAGTGGGTAAAAATGTTGTAAAGGAAGTAGTAGGTAAATTTGGGGTGCCAGGGGTAAATGAAAATGGGGAGCCATTAACCCCTTCAGGGTCCAAGGCCCAAATCTGAAGTGGTGCCCCAGTGTCCAAGAATTTAAAAAAAAAAAAAAAATTTTATTTTTTCTTATGAAATGGTAGAGAATCTTTTTGTGAAGGTAATAAAACAAAAAGTACGAAATTTGATGGAAAATTGACGAAATTATGCTCTCGCGAATTTTGATGTGTCAGCGATATTTACGAATCGGCGATTTTGCCGACTTTGACTCCCATTTTAGGCCAATTACGTTATTCCAGTCAACCAAATTCTTAGCTATTTCACTAGTATTACTTCTATCGATTGAGCACAAGAAATCGCCAAGTCAACTGTTTCAACTACAAATTAAAGTGATCGGAAATTGTTAATTTGGCCAATTTAACACAAAGTTCAAAATATTCCAATTTCAAAATAGGGTCCAGAATAAACAATGTAGGTATTCCTGGAACTAAACTAACATTTCCTCTGTTCATTAGTTACGTTTTGAGGCTTTACAAATATATTCCATTTTGATTTTTTATTCACATATTGAATTTTTATTCACACCAAAAAATAGAAGAATTACTGTTATGCAATACTGTAATAATTGTATAAATATCATCACCATATTTGTGAATGCATATTAGACCCACCAGCTGGCGTGTATTAGACGTGTGAGGTCGTTTGTTTACTCTTGAATATCGGCAAAAATTTAACATTTCTGCTACTTTGAGCTTAGTTTCAAGCCATTTCCAGTGCGAAAACCAATCAAAATCATCTCTATTTCTGTAATATGTCTTCCATTCTATCAAATGAGACCAAGAAATCACAAATAGAACTATAAAAAACATACGAAAAACAGTGCAAAGTCGCTGTTTTAATCGAAAAATCGTGATTTCAGTTTTTTTCTCTCATTATACACAGCGTGCTGCAGGATCTGTTTTATGTGGTGCACACATACCACATAGATGTATTCTCTCATATCTAGGCCCAAATGTACCACTCACAGTTTATCAGAGTGAGCTGAGCTCATGACGTAGATCTACGGTTTGGACCCTGAACGTAAAGCCGTAGATCTACGGGACGGACCCTCAAAGGGTTAATTGAACTATGTGTAGAAAGAGGTTTGGTAATAAGTAATACATATTTTATGAAAAAGAGGATAAATTAGTATACAAGATATGATATAGCACGTAATGAAAGTAGTTTGTTAGATTATGTATTGATGGATAAAAGGTTGATGGGTAGGCCTCAGGATATACATGTTTTTAGAAGGGAAATAGATGTATTGGATCATTATCTAGTAAGAGGTAGTTGGGACAAAAGGAAAATGGCAACAGTAAGTAAGAGAGAGGTGAACATTTATAAATTAAGAGAGGAGGAAGTTAAGGTGAGATATAAGCAACTATTGGCAGAAAGGTGGGCTAGTGCAAGTATGGGTCGTTGGGGGAGGGGGGTTGAAGAGGGATGAGATAGTTTTAAAAATGCATTATTAGAATGTGGGGCACAAGTCTGTGGTTCTAGGAGAGTGGGTGCAGGAGGAAAGAGGAGTGATTGGTGGAATGATGAGGTAAAGGGTGTGATAAAAGAGAAAAAGGTATCTTATGAGAGGTTTTTACAAAGCAGAAGTGATATAGAAGGGCAGAGTTTATGGAGAGTAAAAAAACGGTGAAGAGAGTGGTGAGAAAGTGCAAAAGGAGAGTAAATGATAAAGTGGGAGAGGTACTGTCAAGAAATTTTGCTGAGAATAAGAAAAAATGTTGGAGTGAGATAGTTAAGAAAGCCTAGGGAATGAATGGATTTGTAAGTTAAAAACAGAGTAGGGGAGTTAGTAGATAGGGAGCTGGAGGTATTGGGTAGATGACGGGAATATTTTGAGGAACTTTTAAATATCGATGAAGAAAGGGAGGCAGTAATTTCATTCATTGACCAGGGAGGTATAACATCTTTTAGGAGTGAAGAAGAGCAAGATGTGAGTGTGAGGGAGGTGAGTGAGGCATTACGTTGAATGAAAGGGGGTAAAGCAGCTGGAACTGATGGGATCATGATAGAAATGTTAAAAGCAGGGGAAGATATAGTGTTGGAGTGGTTGGTATTTTTGTTTAATAAATGTATGAATGAGAAGGTACCTAGGGATTGGCAGAGAGAGTGTATAATTCCTTAATATAAAGGGAAGAGGGACAAAAGAGATGGCTAAAATTATAGGGGAATAAGTTTACTGAGTATACAAGGTAAAGTGTATGGTAGTGTTATTATTGAAAGAATTAGAGGTAAGACAGAGCAGGATTGCAGATGAGCAAAGAGGTTTTAGAATGAGTAGGGGATGTGCAAATCAAGTGTTTACATTGAAGCATATATGTGAACAGTATTTAGATAAAGGTAGGAAAGTTTTCATTACATTTATGGATTTAGAAAAGGCATATGATAAAGTGGATAGGGGAGCAATGTGGCAGATGTTGCAAGTGTATGGAATAGGTATTAAGTTACTAAATGCTTTAAAGAGTTTTTATGAGGATAGTGAGACTCAGGTCAGGGTGTGTAGGAGAGAGGGAGATTAATTCCCAGTAAAAGTAGGTCTTAGACAAAGATGTGTAATGTCACCATTGTTGTTTAACATACAGCCTCTCCTCACTTAGCGACGTACTTGTTTACTGACGACTTTGACTTACAATTCACTCTCTAACCAGTATTAAATAATGTATATTAGAGCTGATTTTCTCTATTTAGTTTATTACAATATACAGTACACTACTGTATAAACATTTAAAAATATACCAGAAATATTATAAATGGTGCAAAGGTGATATTAAAACAATATCAAAATTATGATGATGAAATTATTTTCTTTTTGGGGATTTTCGTTCTTTTTGGGTCACCCTGCCTCGGTGGGAGATGGCCGACTTGTTGAAAAAAAAAAAATGGTTGTCACAAACCCACTACCATTATAGTATGCTCCTCACTTGGTGGTGAATTCATTTACCGATGTGGTCTTAGGAACGGAACCCCGTCGTTAAGTAAGGAGGGGCTGTATTTATAGCTGGGGTTGTAAAAGAAGTAAAGGCTAGGGTATTGGGGAGAGGGGTGGGATTAAATTATGGGGAATCAACTACAAAATGGGAATTAACACAGTTACTTTTTGCTGATGATGATATGCTTTTGGGGGATACTAAAGAAAAGTTGCAAAGGTTAGTGGACAAATTTTGGAGGGTGTGTAAAGGTAGAAAGCTGTAAGGTGATGAGGGTATCAAACGATTTAGATGAAGAAAAATTGGATATCACATTGGAGGGAGGGAGTATGGAAGAAGTGAATGTGTTCAGATATTTGGGAGTTGACTTGCCAATGGATTGGTTTATGAAGGATGATGTTAACCATAGAATTGATGAAGGAAAAAAGGTGAGTGGTGCATTGAGGTATATGTGGAGACAAAGAATGTTATCCATGGAGGCAAAGAAGGGAATGTACGAGAGAATAGTGGTACCAACACAGTTACAGTAGGGCCCCGCTTTATGGCGTTTCACTTTACGGCGTTCCACTAATACGGTCATTTCAAATTATGACCAAAACTCTAATTACGGCTCCCCCCACCTGACTTTCTTATACGGTCACCACGCCTCACCCAGTTTGTTTACATTCTTCATGAGATCCATAAGCACTAAGTCTCTCCATTATGTCTGGAAACTCCAAAATTTCAAGTTTTTTTAAAAGTTATTTCATATTTTATATATACTGTGATAATTATACTTATGTATACCTGTACCTATATAAACTTACACTCTGTGCTGGCGTGCAGGTACACATTAAAATCACTAAGAGTGTCTTATGTCTTGAGACACCATATTAGTATTGATAATAATAATAATAATAATCACTGAGTCTCATTAAATGTCATATATTACGATATTATTCATATTTTCATTAATCCATTTAGGATATTTTTTAAAAATTATATAATAAAGACGATACATAACATATAAAGATGATAAATACACCCCACAGTAGAATAAATAAACATAAATATGAAATGTGGTAGCCAGACAACTTGTACAAGTGATGACAAGAAAAACGTTTTCTCTCATCCAACTTAGGAGAAAGCATGTTACTGGGGGTAACTGTAGAAAATTATTCCTTTCGTATGTAAGTAAGTTTATTCAGGTATGCACAAATATAGTTACATAGATTATCATACATAGCAGCATATGTGTAAAGTACCTACTATAACCCAAAAAAGTCAGTGTGACTTATTTCCATTGCCTTCACTCAGTGTCATTTCTTCTAAAAATGGTGTTACATGAGAATGGGAGTGGTGTTCTTTATTTATTCTACTGTATCAATTTAGAGACAACTTGTACACAATGTAACTTGTACACAAACCAAACGTGTACACCTGGTTTGTTTACAAAACTTGTGTTTCCCTGGTTTGTTTACATAATTCTTTTGAGTGTCCTCTCCATGTACTCATTCTTTCTCTGTCTCATATATTCTTTTTTATCTCGTTTACTCACCTCTGGCCCTACATTAAGACTACAAATATTTTAAGGTAAGTAATGAGTTAACTGTATTTGCATTTTATCGCTCTGGGATGCTTAAATGTCATAGACTATTATGTGTGGGTGGGGTGGCCTGGTATGGTAGCCTGGCTGGTTACCATACATACCACACTTGATTTCTTACAATAAATACTACTAGTCTCACCATAGATTAAGACTACAAATATTTTAAGGTAAGTAATGAGTGCACTATATGTGTAGTTTACTTTTTTGTTTTTTAATGCCTAATTCTATTGCTAACTTAATATATGTTAGTGTAAACTTGTTATCAAGTATTTATATGCATTTATAAGTGGAAAAAAAAGGGTGTTCCACTTTACGGCGATTTCAGCTTTTCAGCGGTAGCCTGGAACCTAACCTGCCGTATAAGTGGGGCCCTCCTGTATATGGGTGTGAGGCATGGGTTGTAAATACTGCAGTGAGGAGGCGGCTGGAGGCAGTGGAGCTGTCATGTGTAAGGGTAGTGTGTGGTGTAAATATTATGCAGAGAATTTGTAGTATGGAAATTAGGAAGAGGTGTGGAGTTACTAAAAGCATTAGTTGAGGTGGTTTGGTCATTTAGAGAGAATGGAACAAAATAGAATGACTTGGAGAGCGTATAAATCTGTAGGGGAAGGAAGGGGGGTAGGGGTCATCCCTAAAAAGGTTGCAGGGAGGGGGCAAAGGTGGTTTTGTGGATGAGGGGCTTGGACTTCCAGCAAGCGTGCATGAGCGTGTTAAATAGGAGTGAATGGAAACGAATGGTTTTGGGGGCCCTGACGAGCTGTTGGAGTGTGAGCAGGGTAATATTTTGTGAAGGGGTTCAGGGATACTGGTGTGCCAGACTTGAGACCTGGAAATGGGAAATACAATGCCTGCGCTTTAAAGGAGGGGTGTGGGATATTGCCAGTTTGGAGGAATGTTTAAGCTGTTGTATCTGAGCGCCGCTGCATAGGCAGTAATTATGTATGAGTGATGGTGAAAGTGTTGAATGATGACGAAAGTTTTTTCTTTTTGGTTTTTCTTTCTGATTGGGTTACCCTGCCTTGGTGGGAAACGGCCAACATGTTAAAACATATAAAATGAAACATCATTAGCTGTGTGAAATAATTCCTCCCAATCTGATCTTTAAACTGCTTTCTAGGCTCAGAAAAAAAAATTATATTTATATTGTTTTCTCTCTCATACCAACTTTAGTGAACATCGAAGGGAAGCCGGGTGCATGTGGCTTTGTGTCGGTGCTGTTTCGACATGCCTACCCTGCCTATTTGATCAAGATTGATGAGGAAACTGGTGAACCTCTCAGAGACAAAAATGGACTTTGTATTTTGTGTAAACCTGGTGAGAATTTTTTCCAAGTTGTCATGAAACTGATCTGTTTCAATCTCTGAAATGTGAAAGTGTTTAGGAAACCTGTGAGAAGTTGAGGTCCTGATAAGGATATGACCAATAGAAATTAATAGCTTATTCATTATTATAGAAATAATTGATTGAAAAGTATACTAAATATCATCATGATTTCTGTTAGCCTTTATTTATAAGACACATGAGGTTTTGGTGATAATTTACCAAGTTATCTCTTACAGGAGAAGCAGGGGAGTTTGTAGCATTAATCAGAAAAAATCACCCAATTCTTGACTTTCATGGTTATGCTGACAAGAAGGCTACTGAGAAAAAGGTAGCTAAAGATATAATGAAGAAGGGTGACATGGCCTTCAGATCTAGTGAGTGTACAAGCTTGTTTGAGAATTTCACCAAGTTACTTTTTATATTATGTAGAATGTTATCAGATTTTAATATATCTTTGTATCTTTAACATTACATTCATATACACGTATATTGATTTTTTTTTTTTCCCCAACAAGTTGGCCGTCTCCCACCGAGGCAGGGTGACCCAAAAATGAAAGAAAATCCCCAAAAAGAAAACAGTTTCATCATCATTCAACACTTTCACCACACTCACACATTATCACTGTTTTTGCAGAGGTGCTCAGAATACAACAGTTTAGAAGCATGACTCACGAAATCATAATGACACGATTGCAAACAAACCATACCCCAGCCGGGATTGAACCCGCGGTCAGAGAGTCTCGAAACTCCAGCCCGTCGCGTTAGCCACTAGACCACATACCCGGCCGGGGTATGGTTTGTTTGCAATCATGTCATTATGATTTCGTGAGTCATGTTGACGGCAGTGAAGGGACTTGAGCTAGAGTTCGTCACGGCCACGCTAGCTGGAGATTCGTCTGTAAAAACTTGCATTTGTGGTCACAGTGGTGCCTGTGCTAACCTTCCTATGGTGTAGAAATATACCTAGTTGGACGAATCTTATTGTGGCTAGCTGGTCTAGTGGCTAACCCGACGGGCTGGAGTTTTGAGATTCTCTGACCGCGGGTTCAATCCCGGCCAGGGTATGGTTTGTTTAGAAGCATATACATATAAAGATACACAACATATCCCTCCAAACTGCCAATATCCCAAACCCCTCCTCCAAAGTGCAGGCACTGTGCTTCCCATTTCCAGGACTCAAGTCCGACTATATGAAAATAACCGGTTTCCCTGAATCCCTTCACTAAATATTACCCTGCTCATACTCCAACAGATCATCAGGTCCCAAGTACCATTCGTCTCCATTCACTCCTATCTAACACGCTCACGCACACTTGCTGGAAGTCCAAGCCCCTCGCCCACAAAACCTCCTTTACCCCTTTTCTCCAACCCTTTCGAGGACGACCCCTACCCCGCCTTCCTTCCCCTATAGATTTATATGCTTTCCATGTCATTCTACTTTGATCCATTCTCTCTAAAAGACCAAACCACCTCAACAACCCCTCTTCTGCCCTCTGACTAATACTTTTATTAACTCCACACCTTTTCCTAATTTCCACACTCCGAATTTTCTGCATAATATTTACACCACACATTGCCCTTAAACAGGACATCTCCACTGCCTCCAACCGTCTCCTCGCTGCTGCATTTACCACCCAAGCTTCACACCCATATAAGAGTGTTGGTACTACTATACTTTCATACATTCCCTTCTTTGCCTCCATAGATAAAGTTTTTTGACTCCACATATACCTCAACGCACCACTCACCTTTTTTCCCTCATCAATTCTATGATTAACCTCATCCTTTATAAATCCATCTGCCGACACATCAACTCCCAACTATCTGAAAACATTCACTTCTTCCATACTCCTCCTCCCCAATTTGATATCCAATTTTTCTTTATCTAAATCATTTGATACCCTCATCACCTTACTCTTTTCTATGTTCACTTTCAACTTTCTACCTTTACACACATTCCCAAACTCATCCACTAACCTTTGCAATTTTTCTTTAGAATCTCCCATAAGCACAGTATCATCAGCAAAAAGTAAATGTGTCAATTCCCATTTTGAATTTGATTTCCCAAAATTTAATCCCACCCCTCTCCCGAACACCCTAGCATTTACTTCCTTTACAACCCCATCTATGAATATATTAAACAACCATGGTGACATTACACATCCCTGTCTAAGACCTACTTTTACCGGGAAGTAATCTCCCTCTCTTCTACACACCCTAACCTGAGCCTCACTAACCTCATAAAAACTCTTTACAGCATTTAATAACTTACCACCTATTCCATATACTTGCAACATCTGCCACATTGCTCCTCTATCCACTCTATCATATGCCTTTTCTAAATCCATAAATGCAATAAAAACTTCCCTACCTTTATCTAAATACTGTTCACATATATGCTTCAATGTAAACACTTGATCTACACATCCCCTACCCACTCTGAAACCTCCTTGCTCATCCACAATCCTACATTCTGTCTTACCTCTAATTCCTTCAATTATAACCCTACCGTACACTTTTCCTGGTATACTCAGTAAACTTATTCCTCTATAATTTTTATAATCTCTCTTGTCCCCTTTCCCTTTACATAAAGGGACTATACATGCTCTCTGCCAATCCCTAGGTACCTTCCCCTCTTTCATACATTTATTAAACAAAATTACCAACCACTCCAACACTATATAACCCCCTGCTTTTAACTTTTCTGTCATGATCCCATCAGTTCCAGCTGCTTTACCCACTTTCGTTCTACGTAATGCCTCACATACCTCCCCCACACTTACATTCTGCTCTTCTTCACTCCTAAAAGATAGTATACCTCCCTGACCAGTGCATGAAATTACCGCCTCTCTTTCTTCCTCAACATTTAAAAGTTCCTCAAAATATTCTCGCCATCTACCTAATACCTCCCTCTCCCCATCTACTAACTCACCTACTCTGTTTTTAACTGACAAATCCATACTTTCCCTAGGCTTTCTTAACTTGTTTAACTCACTCCAAAATTTTTTCTTATTTTCATTAAAATTTCTTTTCTGTGCCTCTCCCACTCTATCATCTGCTCTCCTTTTGCACTCTCTTCACCTTTCTTTTACTCTCCATATACTCTGCTCTTCTTATAACACTTCTGCTTTGTAAAAACTTCTCATAAGCTACCTTTTTCTCTTTTATCACACCCTTTACTTCATCATTCCACCAATCACTCCTCTTTCCTCCTGCCCCCACCCTCCTATAACCACAAACTTCTGCCCCACATTTTAATACTGCATTTTTAAAACTATTCCAACCCTCTTCAAACCCCCCCCCCCCCCCCCACTCATCTTTGCACTTGCGCACCTTTCTGCCAATAGTCGCTTATAATAATCATTCTGAATTCACAGAGCTAGCGTCATTACATTTCTTGTTAACATGTAAAGAGAATAGTCAGTCATCCTGCTTCCTGTTATTAAGATGTATTCATCCCTTTCCCTTACCTCTTCACTACTAGACTATCCAGTACTCTGGGTCAAGATTGATGAGACAATTTACTTCAAAATAGGTACATTACTTGGTAACAAGATTTCAAACACACTTCATTTTTCACATCCGTAAGTAATGTCAAAGAAACTATAATTTTTACTTCTTCAACAAACTTGCCATATCCCACCAAGGCAGGGCAGCCCAAAAGTAAAAACGAAAGTTTCTCCTTTTAAATTTAGTAATACACACTATCCCCTTGCTCCTGGCATTTTAGTTGCCTCTTACGACGCATGGCTTATGGGGGAAGAATTTTGTTCCACTTCCCCATGCAGATAAGAGGAAATAAACAAGAACATGAACTAGTAAGAAAATAGAAGAAAATCCAGAGGGGTGTGTGTATATATATGCTTGTACATGCAAATGTAGTGTGACCTAAGTGCAAGTAGACGTAGCAAGACGTATCTGAAATCTTGCATGTTTATGAGACAGAAAAATGATACCAGCAGTCCAACCATCATGTAAAATAATTACAGGCTTCTGTTTTACACTCGACATGACAGTAGTACCTTCCTAGGCAGTTGCTGTCTGCCAACTTACTTCTTTCTTTCAACACACCGGCCGTATCCCACTGAGGCGGGGTGACCCAAAAGGAAAAACGAAAGTTTCTCCTTTTACATTTAGTAATATATACAGGAGAAGGGGTTACTAGCCTCTTGCTCCTGGCATTTTAGTCGCCTCTTACAACACACATGGCTTACGGAGGAAGAATTCTGTTCCACTTCCCCATGGAGGTAAGTGGAAATAAACAAGAACAAGAACTAGTAAGAAAATAGAAGAAAACCCAGAGGGGTGTGTATATATATGCTTGTACATGTATGTGTAGTGTGACCTAAGTGTAAGTAGAAGTAGCAAGACGTACCTGAAACCTTGCATGTTTATGAGACAGAAAAATTTACACCAGCAATCCTACCATCATGTAAAACAATTACAGGCTTTCATTTTACACTCACTTAGCAGGACGGTAGTACCTCCCTGGGTGGTTGCTGTCTACCAACCTACTATCTGCTTATAATTTTTACATTGATTGTAATTTTTATGAATATGTAACTATTGATCTCCATGGAGAGGTGGAAAGGAATTCTTTCTCTGCAAGGCATTCATGTTGTAAGAGGCAACTAAAATGCTGGGAGCAAGGGGCTTGTAACCCCTTCTCCTGTATAAATTACCAACTTTGAAAAGAAAAACTTTTGTTTTTCTTTTTGGGTCACCTTGCCTCGGTGGGATATGACTGGTTTGTTGAAAAAAAAAAAAAACTATTGATCTCCATGGAAAGTGAAAAAGAATTCTTCATTCGTAAGCTATGTGTGTCATAAGAGATGGCTAAAATGTTGAGAGCAAGGGGCTAGTAACCCTTTCTTCTGGTTATGGCTGGTTCATTGAAAAAAATAACTATTGATTTTTTAAATTTTTATAGCATACAGTTATTCTACCTGAGTTATATTGCTGCATTCTAGGTGTTTGTGATGCCACAGTCAATAGAACATTTAATGTTTTGTTTAGTTGTGTCATTATCTGGCAGCTGTCATAAAATTAACCACTTAACTGTGACATACCCAGGAAAAAAAATTAAGTGTGTCGGGGCAAGGTAATAAAAGGGTACAAAATTCTTTCATGTAGAATGGAAGATTAGATTTTTATGAATTGAATAAGGCTAAAATGAGTGTAATGTGATAAAACTTTACAATTTTATGGTGTATTGAAGACAGCAGTAGTATTGCAAATGTCCCAGCAATGTACAAGGAATACATATAATATTACAGTTGATTCAAGGTGTGATACTCCTCAAAACATGGAAATAAGTCGCATTGTTTGACTGGTTATCCTGGGTGCTTTGTGGCTTAACCCTTTCACTGTTGGTGCCATATAGATACGTCTTATGAGCCATTGTTGGTGACGTATTAATATGCCAAATCTAGCGAGAATGGGTCTGCATCATCAGTGTGTGCAGCATAAAAAGAAATTGGGGAAGCCGCAGTTCATTGTGGGAGTGCTAATTCAGTACACCTTGGTCACAAAGGCTAGTGGTAAGGAATACCTCACTCCCTGGCGAATTGGGACTCTTCCCTTCCCAAGTGATAGTTCTAACACAGACTGAAGTGCCCAAGAATTTTGCTGCAGTTCTCCAGGAAGAACCTTAATTCTGTATTGTGTCATTGTGTATTGGTATCATTGCTCTGAAGATGTAAAGTGAACAGTAGAATGCACGAATGGCTTGTATATTTAATAAATTTAATGCTTTGAATGGATGTGGGTAGTGTTGTATGAAGTAAGCATTTAATATAACTGGTGGTATTAATAAAGATATATAGATATAGAGGAATAGAAGAATGATTCTGTAGCTAACTTACATAAAATTAAACTTAACAAATAATACAGTAGTTTTATTATATATATGCTGGGTACATATATATCTAAGTATACATATATTTACAGGTGATATTCTCATTATGGATGAATTGGGCTACTTGTACTTTAAAGACCGTACAGGTGACACTTTCCGGTGGCGTGGTGAGAATGTTTCATCAACAGAGGTTGAGGGAGTGGTTTCCAAGGTGGCTGGAAATAAAGATGCTGTTGTGTATGGAGTTGAGGTATGTAGGTGTCATATAATGATGCATAACATAAGCTGAATGATAAATGGCTATATTTCTGTGATACGTTTTGGTGCATTTATTTTGATATGGCTTTCTTTGATATGTTTTGGTGCATTTATTTTGGATAGAGAGATTGTATGCTGTGTAACCTGCATAACTGATTGCCTGTTTTACTTTTTTATTAGGAATTCACAATTGTATAGATAGTTTGCTGTTTGTAAATTGAAATTAATTTTTTTTTAAGAATCAAAAATTAAATAGGTGCCATGCATGTTGTAAGAGGTAACTAAAATGCTGGTAGCAAAGGACTAGTAACCCCTTCTCCTGTATATGCAGCCTCTCCTGACTTAACGACTGAGTTCTATTCCTAAGACCATGTCAGCAAGTGAATTCATTGCTAAGCAAGGAGCATACTATAATGGTAGGGGGTTTATGTCAACCATCTTTCATATTGTTTTAATGTCACTTTGCACCTTACAACATTTTTAATATTTCTTAAATGTTTATTCATTAGTGTACTGTATATTGTCAGAGCCCGGCGTTAGTCTGAGTCATCAGTAAACAAGTACATCGCTAAGTGAAGAGAGGCTGTATTACTAAATATAAAAAATGAATATGTTCTTTTTCAAGTCACCCTACCTTGGTGGAAGATGGCTGGTGTGTGAAAAAAATTTTTTGGGGTCAAGATTTATATTTTTTGTTTTCTGTATTTGAAAATGGAATTTTAACCTATGGTCATGCAATAGGTTTTGGAAGCTGTATTTATGCACCAAAGTTCAGTTATGTTAAAAAAAATTTTAGTACAGGTCAGCCATCACTAATCTAGCAGTCAGTCATCCGGTTCCATAAGTAATCCGGCACTAATTTCGGCTAGCATAATTTCAAATTTCCAGGGTCGCCACACCAACCTGCTGCTACTGTTTGGTGGTGCTACTTGCTGCATAAGTCATTCCAGGTTCTTTTTCTCCATTTATTGTTATAACCTGCTTGTTTTTAGCCCTAGCCATGGTTCCAACGAATAAAAGGGACATACACAGTACATTGTCCATAAAAGATAGGTGGCTTTGAAGCCACTGTTGGTTGCCATGAGCTCATTCTCGTGATGCAGGGGAATATGCTTTTTTATTACGCTAATATCAACATTACAGCTTATTTACCTATCACAATTGATCTAATATGACATAATAAAAAATATAAATAACATAAAAACATGGTAAATACTCCAGAATGAATACTATTTGGCATAGTACCAAGCGGTTCGATGGAGGTATGAAGAGGATATGGGATACAAGTACCATTCTTCTATCCCTGTCTTGGGGGTTTCAATTAGAGAAAACCAAGTGTAGCACAGGGCTAACTGTAATATACACTTGTAATGCACCATAAAACTGAAACAAAAAAGCTATTTTCTCCACGTAGATTAACATACATAGCAGCATATGTGTAGAGAGCCTAGAATAACCCAAAAAAGTCGGACACTGTGACTTATTTCTAGTACCTGGCTTGGCCTTGCCATATATGATTTTGATGTATATTTTTTTCTCAGTTGTTTGTTGGGTTATCTTATTGAAACTTGGGCAATGTATAATGGAAAGATGCTTCTTAACGTACATCAAAAATGAAAGAAATCAGAAGATAAATAACGGAGTTCATTTCTCAGCCATTAGCTGCCCCTTAGTGATATATTTTTGTATGTTTTTATGGTTGTATTCTCGTGTTTTGGTCTCATTTGATAGAATGGAAGATATATTACAGAAATAGATATTATTTTGATTGGTTTCATGGCAAAAGGTACCTTAAAATTAAGCTCAAAGTAGAGGAAATGTTCAATTTTTGCCATGTTCAAAAGTAAACAAATGACATCACCGTCCAGTACGTGTCAGCTGGCCAGTCTAATATGCAGTCATGAATGGGTTGACATTATTTATACAATTATTACAATAATGAAGTAGTCTGCATAACAGTAAATCGTCTATTTTTGTGAATAAAAATTCAAAATGGAAAGCAAGAGTAATATAAGAGGGGCCTGGAGATGTGACTTTTTTTTTTTTTTTTTTTTTTTTTCCCCCCAACAAGTCGGCCGTCTCCCACCGAGGCAGGGTGACCCAAAAAAAAAAAAGAAAGAACAGAAAAAATGAACAGAGAAAATGTTATTTTAGTGCCTGGAATGTCCATTGTTTATTTGCAAGTCCCAAATGAGTGGATAGAGTTATCAGAGCTTATTTCTTGGGTAGCATTGTGGACTGGGTTGGAAAAATGTTTCGTTAGTGGGATGAATTGTAAAGGACCTGCCGAGCATGGGCCAACAGGCCTGCTGCTGTGATCCTCCTTTCTTATGTTCTTATGTTCATCAACCACTGTCACAACTGCTTCCACTCTACCACCACCATCTTTGTATTTCTCTACAAACTTTTTCATAAATTATGTGTTTCTCACATTCTTTACCAAAGGGCTGGCACTAGAAGCTTTCTTTGGTGGTAGTGATGGTGGTAGAAGGTAGTAGTGATGGTGGTAGAGGGTTCCTTCTTTAGTGATTCAGCAATTCTACCAACTCCTCCAATGTTGTTGGAGTTATATGGGGCTACAAAACCACCGCCGCCTCAGCTGCTGCTGCACCACCATTATGGATGGCTTACACTCAGTGGCCCTTATATACCCAACAACAACACAACACCTCTCGTGACATACGTAATGACTTATTTTATTCATTCTAGAGTATATTCCATGTGATGAATGGTTTGAAAAACCGACAACTTGTCGGTTTTTCAAACCATTCATCACAACTGTCTGACACTGCAGCATCATGGGATCTTGTTACAAAGAATTCTTCAACACTTGTCCAACCTTCAGACGAAGACCTACTTCGACTAGTGGATGGTACCACTATGACCTCGCCTCCTTCTGCTTCACCTCACCTCACTACAGTATATAAGCCACGTCTACGGCCCTATGCTGTACATTCTACGAGATTGATGGACTGAACACATCGACTCCAGGCTGAGGGACTGATTACCTCAAACTACTCCTCTCCTTACACCTTTCTACTTTGTATCGGACTGATGAAGCCACTGTGTGGCGAAACGTTTCCTGAATAAAGATTCCCATATGTTGCATCAGTGTCTCAATCTTCAGTATATTCCATGTTTCTTTGTTATTAATATTGTTTATTATGTCATATTAGTTGAATTGTGATAGATAAATAAGCCATAGAGTTGATATTAGTGTCATATTCTCCAACAATAAACTTGCCATCCCTCCTTCACACAAACAAATAGCCAATAAGAACATAATGGAAGAACACTGCAGGTATATTGGCCCATACAAGGCAGGTCCTTATCAAAATGACCTCCACCCAAAGCTACCCAAGAATTTACTCTCGTACCCAATGACACAAATCAAACTCAGCTCCTCCAACTCGTATATTTGTCCAATCTCTTCTTAAAGCTACCCAAGGTCCTAGCCTCAATCACCCTACTGGTAAGTGTGATGTTAAATAAGAACTTAAGAAAGTAGGAACACTGGAACAGGCCTGCTGGCCCGTACTAGGCCGGTCCTTCACAAATCCAACCCACTAACAGAACAAATGCTACCCAAGCAATAAACTCAGGTGCAAGTCCGACTCGAATCCAACCCCTTTCACTCGTGTATTTATCCAACTTAAATTTGAAACTACCCAAGCCATAGCTTTTAGAACATTGGAAAGGAGGAACACTGCAATAAACCTGTTGGCCCACACTAGGCCGGTCCTTCACAAATCCAACCCACTAACAGAACAAATGTTACCCAAGCAATAAGCTCAGGTGCAAGTCCAACTCAAATCCAACCCCTCTCACTCATGTATTTATCCAACCTAAATTTGAAACTACCCAATGTTTTAGCTTCGATCACCCTACTAGGCAGACCGTTCCACTCATCAACTACCCCTATTACCAATGTTCATTTATACATTTTATTAGTGCCCTAGAGTCCTTACGGAGGGGGATTCCTCTTCCAAATAACCTCTCTTCCCTCTCTCCTCCTCCCTGTCTTCCATTCATCAACAACAGCCTTCAATAAAGGTAACTGTCATGTTGAATGTTCATTCTTTTGTGCATGTAAATCTATCTTTTAGGTAAAAAAAAATTGTTGTTGATACTTCTGGGTGTCTGGAACGAATTAATTGGATTTACATTATTTCTTATGGGGAAAATTTATTCGAAAATCGTCCATTTCGATAATAGTCCCACTTCCAAGAATGGATTATGGACGATTATTGAGGGACCACTGTATTTTGCTAGAACTCCATTTTTTCTTTTGAATAAGTACAAGAAACCACCCATTTACCGATTTCAACTATCCAGTACAGTGGTCAGAATTTAGCAATTTTGCCAATTTCACACAAATTTCAAAAGATGCCAATGTCCAGATAGGGTCCAGAATAAACAAGAAAGACATTCCTAGCACTAAAATAACATTTCTTCTGTTCATTAGTCACGTCCCCATGCCCCTCTTACATTCTTTTGCTTTCCACTTTGAATTTTTATTCTCACAAAAAAATAGAAGATTTACTGTTATGCAGACTACTGCATTAGTGTAGAAATGGTATAAATAATATCGGCGCACTTGTGAAAGAATATTAGACTCACCAGTTGACGTGTATTGGATGCTTAGCATTATTTGTTTACTTTTGAACTTTGGTAAAAATCGAACATTTCAAGGTACTTTTCATTGTAAAACCAGTCAAAATCATCTCAATTTCTGTAATGTGTCTTCCATTCTATAAAATGAGACCAGGAAAACTAGAATACAACAATAAATACGATACGAAAATACAGTGCAAAGCTGCTGTTTTAATCCAAAAAAACAGTTTTTTTTTTCTCATTACGCACTGTGTGCTGCAGGATTTTTTTTTAGACTGCGCACACTGACCACATAGACCCATTCTTTCAGATTTGAGGGCACTAGAATTTAGGCATTCTAGTACGTCAAAAACCCTGGTGCGTAAGCCGTACTAGTAC